CCCCCCTCCCTTCCTCCCCCCAAAATATTTGCCGTCTTCTATCCAATCAGAGGAGACAAGACACTGAAAGCTCCCCCCCCACCCTTGTGCTTCATACTGCCCGCTCTCCACCCACCCACCCAGAGCACACACCCCCCACGCTCTCCCAGCACACAAAAGCGGTGCAATTAGCTGTCTTAAGGGAGCCGAGGCTTTGCCAGCTGTGAGCCGAAAATAATAAAATACCTCAGAGGCAGAGCACAGGCAGGGAAGGTGGCGGCGGCGGCTGTAGGAGAATACAAATAGCTGCCATCAACATCTGAAACAAAGGGACAGCTCCTTCCAAAAAAAGGCCAGCACTGATGCATCCATCCATTCTCCCAAGGAGACAGCCGGGCCCATCTGCAATTCTCTTCAGACACTGGACATCCTAAGGAGATCCCTTCCCTAGAAGGAGGAATGAACAGCTGGGATACAGGAGCGGTTGTCTTTGTTCCTCAGTAGAGAGAACAGACGGGCGAACGGTGAGTACAGAACGCCCTCCATACTGTTGGGGAAAGGTTTATTTTATCAGCATCAGGTCTGGCTCTTGGGGTTTGGGGGGTTTTTTTGCCTCGACAATGCTATAAAAAGGGAGCAGAGAGGGTAGGTTGCATTCTTCGGCTCTCCGTGGGCTCCAAGAAATCCATCCTTCCGACATGCTGGGAAATCAGGACCTGGCACAAATCTGCTGCTTTCATGAGCATTGCAACCAGCAGGGCGCTGGGATAAAGACAGACGGTGGGATGTACGTGCTCAGAGGCATCATGCAAACACGGGGAGGGGAGGACAGCATGGTGATGCCTAACTATGCAGCTCATCATGCTGCTCCAGCTCCCATCTCCCACAATAAATACTAATATAAAAATTACCAAGTGCTTCTAGCCAGCTTCCCCTCCTCAGAGCAATGCAGGGAGATGAAGGAATTGATCACCCTCTAATCCATCAGTCAGATCCCCCTCTTTAAAAATACATGACTGCTTAGGATGCATAAAGGCGCTGGTTACCAAGAAAAGCTTTCTAATATGTGAACCTTGGGTCCAGATTCAGATCTCACTGGCCCCGGTGCAAGCCTGGGGAAAGTCCGTTCACTCCAGGGCTGTTACTCAGGTCTCGAGCTGATGCAACGAGATTGCAGTCTGGCCCTTTGCATTAAAAATGTTACTGGACAAATCATGTAGATCATCTGTATTGTGCACCATGAATGCAGGGTAAATGCTTGTGCGCATTTCCAGTACGTGCTGCCTACCGTGCATATGGGATGTTATTTATTTAGCTTGACTCTATGCCTGGTGCTGAGCAGAAACAGGGCCCGACTCTGCTTGCTCTGATCTCAAAAGGCTGTTCGGTGCCATCCGGCAAACTGAGGAGTGTGTGGGCCCTTCTTAAAGGAGCATGCATTTGAAGACGTTGGCTCTGAATCTGTGCACGCCCCAAATTCCTTCGGGCGTCACGCGGAGTTTTAGGTAGGCAAGAAATACAGCATCGGTTTCTAAAAATAGACAAAACAGAGCTGATTCGTGTTGACTGGCAGTGTAAATGGCCAGTCAATGGCCAGTAAATGGCCTTAAATCAAAAGCAAACTATAGGCACCTCATTTTTAGGCCCCATGACACTGTTGAGCTGTGGTCTTAGCATAACTGAGAATTAGGCCTGTTGATCCTGATTGTGCTGGCATTGTACTGGCCTGGATCAGAAGTGTTTCCATTAAGTCAAGGGGTTACACCAATGCAAAACAGGTGTAAGTGAGCACAGAATCAAACCCACTGAGTCCATTTGTGCCACCACCATGCAGGTACTCTGCACGCCCAGCACGTGGCTTTATACCCAGTTGAGGGTCAGTGATGATTTCCACCAGGATAGCACTTGGAGGTCCCTCAGTGAAGCTGGACCAGCCCTTTCCTCCCAGACTCACCACTCTCCTCCTATCTGAACATGGAGGCTACTTGGATCCCAGTGCGGAGGGCACCAATTTCCTTGGGAAACAAGATATTCACATCCCTCTGAGACTGAGTACAATGGAAGCAGGTGCCACGAGACCTGAGACCAACTTGGTATTTTTGCCTTTCAACCTGTATTTCATCTCCTTTGGCCCTTTTGGTTGTGACCAGCACCGTTGTTATTGCCAAAGATAAACTGAGAGGTGTGTCTGTGGGCCACACAACCAAACACAATCATTCGCAGTGGATCTTTGCAACCGCTGGGCTAAGTGAGAATCACAAAGGGCAGGAATATGTTGTCTGCAGTGGTCTCACCACCTACCTGCCAACCTCACCTGATTTTTTGGCCAGCAGCATTGATGTCCGTGGAGCACTTTGCCCTGGAGCTTTCTGGATCGTCCCTCCATGCTAATTTTACGTAGAGCGTATATTTAATCAGTCGCATTCAAGCTCATGCTCCCCGTCCCTCCCCTGACACCACCCAGGGCTGGGGCTGGATTTTCCAAGTGGTTCTGCCAGCCCCTCTCCAAGCCCCAGCCCTGGGGAATGACATGGGGAGGCAGAACCCAAATTCTGTAGTTGTAAAGGCATCTTTGTCGAGGTTCTTGTGACCAGCCCTGCTGTGTTTCATGCTGCAGAGCAAGCCTCCCAGCACGTGACACTTTGTGTGACCACAACCACTCCAGGAGCAACATGGGCACCACGGAGGCCACGCTGCGGATGGAGAACGTGGATGTGAAGGAGGAGTGGCAGGACGAGGACTTTCCCAGGTTTGTTCCAGCAAAGCCTCTGCTAAAGGCTAGGGAAAATTCAATTTGTTCCCCAAAATCGTCAAATAAGAAAGGGAAGGTGGGGCTGGGGCTGCTCTAGGCTGAGGTCCAGACAATGCTGCTCAGACTGCAGTGTTTGGGTATTGGTGTCTCGCTCCACTTTTTAAACTGTGGGTATGGCTATCATCATGAACCACAATCATCCCTCCACAGGCAGGCAGGTAGCAGCGTGGGAAGTGTAGGGTGGGCAAGGAAGACCGTCAGACATAGTGAGCCATAACAGGAAGACAGATGCCTGCTTTCCCCATCTAGGATAGAGAGTGCCTCCACCAGAGAGCAATTCTGCCTCCCCTGGCTTTGCACTCAGACAAGGAGTCCCGGTGAAGTAACTGGAGTCAAGGGCCCATGGGCTGCGAGAAGTGAGACCGTTCTGGGCTGTGGGATCCGGCCCAAAGGAGGAATGTGTTTCAGGCCACCTGACTGAGGGAATGGAAATGCAACATGGTTTTGCTCCAGCTTGCGCCTTATCAGCCCGCTGGTCCCTTTACACTTCCTGCGCCCAGGCAGGGCAGGACTCACGGAGGCCGTTCTCTTTATACGCGGGAAACTCCTGGACGTGCTTCCCTCAACTTGCAGCCCTTAACCCTGCTGCAGCCAAGTCTCCTGCTGCCCCCCCTCCTTTCCTCCTTGGACAAGGAAGAAAGTCAATCCAAACTCGCTGGCAAAGACTGCACCCCATTAGGCCAGGTTGTTGCTATTTATCTGTACTGAGTGCATGTGAAATTCCCTTAAACTCATAAAGCCTCATGTGCAGTGAGTGAATTGACTGAGCGGGTATAAGCCTGCTCCATTAGGCATTCAGTAGAGACGTTTAGAGCAGAGTGCAAGGGGAGGGGGCATCAGGTAAGCCCTAGCTTCTAATTTGCCCAGGTGGCAATGGGTAAGTCACTGAGCAACTTTGGAAGAAAAAGGAAATTTCCACTCACTTGGAAGCCCTGCTGTAAGCTGAGACCTTGCAAGCACATGCATTAATGATCAAGGCCCTTCCAAAGCAGGCCAGACTCAGCCTGGGTGTAAGCAAGTCTGCTCCACTGCACTCAGAGGAGTTCATAGACTCACAGATTTTGTCGTGAGGAAAGGCCAGCCAGGGCAGAACTCCCTCTTGTATTGTTCCCAGGGTTTGAAACCAAGTCTAAATGCCAGGGGCCACAGTCAGTGTGGACTCTCTCTTTTCCGTACGGAACCTGTTTCCCAATAAATAGGCTTCAAAGCCAGGAGTTATTTACTGTATGTCTCCCCCTTCTTACTTCCACCCAATTTGTCCTGTTTACATACCCCATGCCACGCTAGGACGCTGCCTTGCCCACCCCTTGGCTGCAAGATAGGTAGAGAAGGGCCTGGCTACATCTGCCCACACCCACAGCGGTCCAGCGCTTGCCTCACTCCTCTCTCCATTCTCCCGGAGATACCTGTGCAGAATGCCGACGGCCCAGCTCCATGCTGAGACTGGAGGCAGCTGGCACTGCCAGACGGGACTCAGATCCAACAGGAGGGGAGTCCTGGCACCTGTGCTGCGGGGGTGATGGGCCCTGTCAGCGAGCCATCTCCTCTCTCCAGCTGCAGCAGAATCCCCCCGTCCCCGGGCGACAGCGCCTCTGTGTTTGCAGGACAGAGACCCACTGTGCATCTCCGGGTGTTGTGTGCAAGACCCTGCCAGGGCACCCAGTGCAGTCAGAGGCCTCCTGTCTTCCCTTTTCACTGGAGGATTAGCGGAGCTCTATTTATGCAAGTGCCAGCTGCAGAGCTCATCTAAGCACCTCTGTCTGCCATCCCTGGTACCCTGCTCCTTTTCATTCATTTGCCCTTCTCCCCCAAAAGAAGGCTTAGACTCAGTAAGGCATCTTCCAGAGGATGGGAATGGCCTTGCTTATTGCTAGGAGGATGAGGGCCCCAAATTGACAAGGAGGTATGAGAAAGCAAGGAGATTTGCAGAAAGCTGGGACCTGAATCCCAACCTCCTTGAGCAGCACTGATATTTATACTGCAGAAGCACCTAAAGCATGGTCCCCAGCCCTCAGTAGCTCGGGGGCTGCAATGCCGAGCAAGCAATGAACCATGGGCAGGTTCATGCTTTGCCGTTGCTGTTATCTT